TCAGATACGTGCAGGTTGCATCACGATGTTTTCCTTCACCGTAAGAATGTCGGATAAATGTACATATGTAAATCGTAAATAGAAAAACACATTGGTACACGGCGGGGTTCGAACCCAGGACCTGCAGATTGCAAGTCAAGTGCTTGACCCCTGAGCCACCGACGCTCATATATGCTTGATATAGGATATGGTTTACGATAATAGTCGAATGTATGGATTCGAACTCATGACCACGTTATTTGAAGGTACTCATATTAGATTATTGGCGCTTCGTGGCTACTTACTTTGTTTTTTTTTTTAAATTTCGCACAGATGTAGTCGTTGGTTATTGGTTCAATAAAACTATCCCATCCCCACGGCTGTTCTAGATCAGTTTAAAGTCATTGTCATTGCCAAGGCTCCTAAATTGCGACTTCCTATGAATCACGCGTACATACGGGTGGGAAACTACCGCCTAGGTGTCATGTTTACGTTACTAAACGCTTAAGTGTCGATTGTAGATTTCAATTGAATACCCTATCCGATATATCTTATATCTTTAAATCAGCAATTCTTGTATATATATATATATATATATATATATATATAATTGGAATCTCGGAATCGGCTCCAACGATTTTCATAAAATTTAGTATAACGGGGGTTTCGGGGGCGATAAATCGATCTAGCTAGGAATCATTTTTAGAAAATGTCATTTTATTCGTGTTTTATCGATAATCAACTTAAACATAAACTTAACTTTTTCTATCGGTAAGATCGAAAAATATTATTCATATTTCATCATTTTATTAGTAATTCCTACTTAAATATAATCCGGTCCGGTCATCCAGGCACTGAACTTAAAACAAGCTGTCGCCCTTGATTCCGTTTGTACGGAATTAAAAAAAAAATTAGTAGTCTATGTTTTCTACATCTATGACGTTTAGCGAGGTGCAGCTGTTCTGGAGATACTTTCTAACAAACATCCAAACATTTGCATTTATATTACTAGCTGTCGCCTATGACTTCATCTGCGCGAAATTATTAATATTTAGTAGCTTGTATTCTTCTAGGTTATGTTCTACATCTATGACTTAAAGCTGTTTTGGTGACCTTCATACATACATCCTCATTTTTTTATATCAAAAGGTGGCAAACGAGCGAGCGACCAACTGTAATCGCTGAAATAGCGAAGTGACCGTTGCCCATAGACATACGCAATTGCATATGCGTTGCCTACCTTTAATCAACGGAGGAGAGGATGCACAGAAAGAAAATATCTACCCTTTCCATGCATCCTCTCATCCGGAAAGTCTACTTCCACTTCCCATCCTTTCCTTATAAGAAAAAGGATGGGAAGGGAAAGAGGACTAAATTAGACCTCCGGGACGCACACTCATCAGCGTGTAGTTGGAATAGCTTCCACTTGACGCCTGTCTTCTGTGTTCTCATTTATAATATTAGTAAGATTGAAGTAATAGAGTATTCGTTTAAGCCTTACAATATAACTTTATCAACATTTACGACATTACGATTACCCGCCATGACAGTTTTAATTATGCAATGATAAAGCATTTTATTGTCCAACTGGATGATAATATTTAAATGTTTGTAATATTAATAAGAGCGTCGGTGGCTCAGTGGTTTCAGCACTTGACTTGCAATCTGCAGGTCCTGAGTTCGAATACCGCCATGTACCAATGTGTTTTTTCGATTTCCGATTCACATATGTACATTTATCCGATGTTGGAAGGAAAACATCGTGATGCTGCACATATCTGAGAAGAAATTCAATGTGTGAAGTCAACCCGCAGTTAGTCAGTGTGGTTGACTATGGCCTTATCACCCTTAACTTAGGGTAGGCTCTGAACCATTTGGTGAGGACGTATAGTGAGCTGATGATGATGAATAATATTGTAAACTCATTTAATCCATTTAGAAATTTTAATATAATAAACGCCGTCATTATTTTTTCAGCATTGGGGCCTCTTTTGCCACAGATGAATGTGTTCGGTCGTCAACTCGGTATATCTGCGGATGTGATGGGGATGGTGACAGCGGTACTACCATTACTTTGGGCGGCTGCGAAACCTCTCTTCGGCTATGTAGTTGATTATTGGCCTGTAAGTAATAAAATATAACTGTTTAGAAGTATGTTGTAAAGAATAAATGTTAACACTCACGTATTTTCGTCCGGTGGCGGCACCGACTAGTTTCGAGTACATCGGGCCGCGTCCGCGAAATAATACCAGTACCACTCATCCTGATGAAGGGCCCCCGATGTGCTCGAAACTAGTCGGTGTCACCGGACGTATATACGTGAGTGTTTAGCCGTGTTTATATATCAGTTTAGTATAATGTCTCACGAAAGTTTGAATAATTTAATAAATATGTTGAGTTTCATTTAAACATGCGAAATCGTACGAACATCGCCCGACAATCAAGAGCGAGACTAACTTATGTGAAATACATACGTTTGTCTCGCTCTGAAGCGACTGCCGATCGTTGTTTGTATAATTCCGGCTAATCTCTAAAATAACAGTGGTAGAGCGAGCTTTAACATGTTTGCATGAATTGTCCCGGCTCGCCCGGTGAAATACCACGACCACACAGAAGACAGGCGTCAAGTGGAAGCAATTCCGCGTTTCGGCTGATGAGTGTGTGTTTCGGAGGCTTAATTTACTCCTCTTTCCCTTCCCACCTCTTTTCTTATAAGGAAAGGATGAGAAGTGGAAGTGGACTTTCCGGATGAGGGGATGCTTGGAAAGGGAATATATTATCTTTCTGTGCATCCTCTCCTCCGTAGATTAAAGGTAGGCAACGCATATGCAATTGCATTGCAGTTTGAGTTTTCATAATAAATCTTATAACTAATAAGAGATTTCATATATTTATTGATGTATGACATATTAAGATACTTTTGACTTCATCATCAGCTCATACATCCCCACTGAGGGGCTCGGAGCCTACTCTAAGTTAGGAGTGATTAGGCCATAGTCAACCACGCTTACCAAGTGCAGTGACTTCACACATATCTTTGAATTTCTTCTCAGATATGTGCAGCATCACGATGTTTTCCTTCACCGTAAGAACGTCGGATAAATGTACATATGTAATTAACAGCGCGTTGTGGTATAGTCTGTCCTCGGTGGTATTTCCAAACTGCTACGACTTAGGGTCCTCCAAGAAGCGAGCTTATCATCTTAAAGGCCGGCAACGCATCTACAGTTCCTCTGGTATTGCTGATGTTCATGGGCGTCGTTGTACACCTCGGTGTTTCCGCTGCTCGTTTGCCCCCTTCTGTTATAAAAAAAAATGGTACATGGCGGGATTCGAACCCAGGACCTGCAGATTGCAAGTCAATTGCTTACTTATTTTTTTTATTTTTTTCTTTAAACTATTATTTCTAATTTCAGAGTCAAAGGAAACTAGTCTTTATGCTCTTAATAGTTGTAATGACTGGTTCATACTGTGGATTGTGGTTTCTACCGATGCCCGAAGAGCCAGAATCGTCTGTACAACTCCTCAGATCTGTATACCAATTTAATAACACTGTGACAATCCAGCCATACAAAATTGACCATTCTGAACGTTTACAAATGGTTAATTGTCATTGGAGTTGTGAAAGAAATTACGATATACACGTATATTTACCTAATTCATCGTTAGTTAATTCAGTTTATGTAGACGGAGCGGTAAATGATACATCTTGTTCTTTCTTACGTATGCATTATGTGGATACTAGAGGGGGACAGGTGATATGTTCGCCTAAACATGAATGTAATTTAATGTGTTTTGAAGAAGGGATTAATGGAAGTAGAAAAAGAAGAGAAATAAGCGGATCTAAAGATGCCAATTCTTTAGAAGTTGATGATAGATTCTTTGGTAAAATAGAGAAGGAAAAAAAAGATGATGGACATGTTTACATGACTGTTGTTTTTTGGGTTTTTGTTGTGTTGATGTGTATGGGTACTGTTGCATTTAATGTAGCTAATTGCATTGGAGATGCGGTCTGCTTTGATGTATTGGGTAAGTTTGTTTTTATATTTACATCAGCTGTCAAAAGGTTAACATTTTTATAATCTTTTATATATATATATATATATAATTCTTCTGTGAGTGTGTATGTCACTGAACTTCTCTCAAACTACTGGAGCGATTTTGATGAAATTTTTTGTGTGTGTTCAAGGGGATCTGGAAATGGTTTAGATTCACAATTTTCATCAAATATTAACTTCGTATTAATTTATTCAAATTAAAGACGTGTAGACAGGACAACGTCTGTCGGGTCCGCTAGTATAATATTTTTTTTTCGAGAGAAATAAAGCGGAACATTCTTACTGTTTTTATTTATAAATAAATATTAGCTGTCGCCCGCGATTCCGTCCGCTTGGATATATATAAAAATGAATAAATAGTATCCTATGTCCGTCTCCTGGCTCTAAGCTACCTCCTCAACAATTTTCAGGCATATCGGTAAAGCCGTTCTTGAGTTATAAATAGTGTAACTAACACCACTTTCTTTTATATATATAGATTACTTCCCTATCTCTAAAGTGTGAATAGTAATTTAATTTACGATTAATCTTTAATTAAACTAAGTTTAACTTTGGTTTTTAATCTGTTTCTTATCACTGAACTTAAGCTAAACAGTTTTTTTTTTTAATTTAACTCTTTTTCTTGCAAACAAAGAAAATAAATGATTCAACTATCCTTTTAACCTTTTAGGTGCCGAAGCTGCATCAAAGTACGGTGCGCAAAGGGCTTGGGGTACTGCCGGGTATGGTATCACAGCACTTCTAGGTGGTTGGCTTGTTGATTTAGTCTCTGGGACATACAAGGACTTTACTCCTGCGTTCATTGTGGCTATAGTAGCTACCGCTATTGATTTATACAGCTGTAGGTCGCTTAAGGTTAGTTTTAGTTAAGTACGGACTTGGTCAAAGAATGTTAAATATTGCTACGTAAATATTCAATATTGCTACGTATTTTTTAAATGTATGTAAGTCTGTGGTTTTTGAACGAATGTTAGACAATTAAGATTAAAATGCATGAATGACTGATCGGACAGAATGAAACGGAAGTATGAGAAGAACGGAATGAATATTGAAGGACGGCAAGACGAAAGGAGTACAAGTAAAAAAAAGATATTATAAAGCATTGAATAAAATAATAAGAAGACGAAAATCTTTCATTCTGCCCACCACCTCATCACAGGTATATGTTTTTAGCTACCCTCATTGTCAAGTCCAGATGACTCAGGGAAGGCGTTACGCGATGTTCTGAAGATACCACGGGTCATGATTTTCATAGTATTTGCTGTGGTGGCCGGAACATTTGATAGTTTTATTATATATTATATGTTTTGGTGAGTTTAGTATTTACTAAGAGAATTTACTGATTTTATTCCCTCCCATAACGTACATATATGTCGAATGTCTCCTCACAAAATCAGTCAAGTCGTTTATGCTACAAGGCCTCGTTTTGGCTAGGTTTCTTGTAGGTCACAGTGACGGAGTGACTACAAATATATATTTTTTTATATCAAAAGGTGGCAAACGAGCGAGCGGCCACCTGAAGTCGCTGAAATAGCGAAGTGACCGTTGCCCATAGAAATACGCAATTGCATATGCATTGCCTACCTTTAATCAACGAAGGAGAGGATGCACAGAAGGAAAATGTCTTCCCTTTCTATGCATCCTCTCATCCGGAAAGTCCACTTCCACTTCCCATCCTTGCCTTATAAAGAAAAGGTGTGAAGAGAAAGAGGACTAAATTAGAGCTCCGGGATGCACAATCATCATCGTGTAGTTGGAATTACTTCCACTTGGCGTGTCTTCTGTATGGTCGTGGTATATCACCGGACGAGTCGGGACAATTCTTGCGAACATGTTAAAGCTCGCTCTACAACTGTTAAATATCTTTGTTATTTTTTTCAGACTTTATAGTAGGTAATCTTTTCTTGGTTTCATGTTGCAGGTTTCTTGAAGAGCTGGCAGAGCAGACAGGCTGTAAAGCGCGGATAAAGCTGATAGAGGGCGTTGTTGTCGCCGCGCAGAGTTTCATCGGCGAACTTCTCTTTTTCTTCTTCTCCGGTATGTACCTTTCTCTTCTTTCTGCTTTAAATTATTCAATTTTTAATTATTTCAGTGCGCTTTCTTATTTTTTTGAATAATTCAGTAAAGTTGATATTAAATTATGAATTACTATTTTAGGTAAGATAATAAAGCGGTGGGGCTATCGGAGAACTCTTACCTTCTCTCTCTTCTGTTACGGTATCAGACTTGCTCTTATCTCCTTCATTCAGCATCCCTGGCATCTCGTGTTTATTGAGGTTAGTGTAACATATAAGTTAAAAGTTTAAATCAAAAAAAAAAAATAAAAAAAAAGTTGTCAACTCTACACATATAAACGCCATAATTAAAGAAAATAATGTGATTTTTTTTTTATTTTATGTTTTTAACGCCACAGGTCCTTTCTGTTTATCTAGTTTTATCAAAATCTGTTTAGCATTTTAGTAACACATAGAGGACAAATTCTAGGGCCTATTTTGTCACGTAACCGTTGACGACCACGGCGTTTAAAAGGTTAACAAATTATAGAAAATTATGTACATTTTCAAATATCGTCGTAACAATTTTGTAAAAGATAAGCAAAGCTACTATTTATAGCGTAATTTGTTACAAAATAAAATCAAAAATGTAAAACATTTGAGTTGGCACATGTATCAGAACAATATCTTTGTAAGTGACGTGCCATCTTATTATTTGGTAGGGTATTATGCAAGGGCCTACCTACGCGCTTTGTTACTCCACGATAGTGGGGTACGCGGCTCATGTCGCGCCTGAAGGTTACTCCGCCACTGTCCAGGGTATTGTCGCTGGAATGGATGATGGTGTTGGTAAGTAATCAACTGAATATACTCACGACTGTAATCTAAAGGCGTAGGCAGAGACCAATGACCTCCATTTGATTTGACGAACTTCGTAATACACTTCTCCCCCTTCGGGATTGAAAACACGGACTTGCTGCACATATCTGTGAAGAAATTCAAAGATATGTGTGAAGTCACTGCACTCAGTCAGCGTGGTTGACTATGGCCTTCACTATGGCAATCACCCTTAACTTAGGGTAGGCTCCGAGACCCTCAGCGGCTATGTATAGTGAGCTGATGATGATGATGAAAACACATTGGTACATAAGATTCGAACCCAAGCCCTGATTACAAATGAAGTATTTAATCTGAGTCATCGACGCTTTTCAGAACATGTAGAGTGAGCTAGAGCTTTAACAGTGGTAGAGCGAGCTTTAATATGTTCGCACGAATTGTCCCGACTCGTCCGGTGATATACCACAACCATACAGAAGACACGCCTCAAGTGGAAGCTATTCCAACTGCAGTCTGATGAGTGTGCGTCCAGGAGGCTTAATTTAGTCCTCTTTCCCATCCCATCCTTTTCTTTATAAGGAAAGGATGGGAAGTGGAAGTGGACTTTCCGGATGAGAGGGATGCATAGGAAGGGAAAATATTTTCTTTCTGTGCATCTCTTCCGACGATTAAAGGTGGCAATGCATACGCGATTGCGTATGTCTATGGTCAACGTTCACTTCGCTATTTCAGCGATTTCAGGTAGCCGCTCGCTCGTTTGCCACCTTATGGTAAAAAAGGAAGTATTGAGAGTTTTTTTCCTACAGGTTTTGCGTTAGGTTCTCTATTAGGAGGGCAGCTGTACGCCCGACTAGGAGGGCGTGCTGCATTCCGTACCCTCGCTGTTACGGCCGCTATAGCTGCGTTTGTACACGGAGCTTTGTCTATCAAGAGGAAGCCAACAAGTCAGTATATCTTACTAATATTATAAATGCGAATGTTTAGATGTATGTTGGAATTTTTATACATTATTAATTAGAATCCTTTGACACGAATAGTTTTTGTAACAAAGTCAAGTGTCAGAATGATTAGTGAGGGGACATAAACTTCGATATTTTAGTTAGGCTAGTTTTGCGATACACCGGCACAGTGCCGGATTTTCTTCTTAACACAAGGTATTTTCAGAACGGCTGCATAAATCTTGATGAAAGTCATAGATGTAGAATGAAAGTTTGGAAGAACACATAGGGAATTAATAAGGTTTTTTTAATTCTGTGTGAACGGAGTCGCGGGCGACAGCTAGTATACAGTAAACTTTTTCTTCACAGAACAAACAGAAGAATTACCAAAAGAAGAGGACGAGAAGATGTTGCCAGTTGTAATAAAACATGACACTTCTATATATAAAGATACGACATTGCCATTGACTGAAGTCAGTCAAAATGGTGACAGGTGACAAGTTACAGATATCGGTTGAAAAAATCTATATATATAAAAGAAAGTGGTGTTAGTTACACTATTTATAACTCAAGAACGGCTTTATCGATATGGTTTAAAATTGCTTAGATGGATGTGATGTGGATGGATGGGTGTTTGAAGATATTTCTAGAACGGCTGAACGGATCTCGATTAAATTTGGCATACGTATAGAAAATAGTCTGAAAGAACATATAGGCTACACTAATTAAGTTTTTATGTATATCTTCGCGGACGGAGTCGCGTGCGACAGCTAGTATCTTTATAAAAATATCTTACTTCTTACTAATATTATAAATGCGAATGTTTTAATGTATGGATGGATGAGTGTTTGAAGATATCTCCAGAACGGGTGAATGGATCTCGATGAAATTTGTCATAAATATAGAACATAGTCTGGAAGAACACATAGACTACTAATTAAGTTTTTTTTTAATACTGTACAAACAGAGTCGCAGGCGACAACTATGTCTATATTGACGGAAGAATAAAAGCCATATAAGTTTTATAAGTTTATATAAGTTTTATTAAATTTACTGCCCCTCCCTCCCACCTGGTGAGATGTCGTGAGATTTTATTCAACCTCCCCCATCCCCCAATCTCACGTGAGATTTATCAAAATGTGAGTTTCTTATATTCGTATAAAAAAAAATTGCTTTTTGCTTTTGTTTTTTTTTGCTGAAAAAAAAATTGCGTGATATTTGCCTAGCCCCCTCTCTCCAACGTAAGATTAGATGAGATTTAACACGACCACTTAAACACCTCACGTAATGTATGGACCTTATGACTTTAAAGTTATGTATTTTAAAGTATTATTAATATAATATATATGTTTAAATTATAAAATTCGATACAGCAAGTATCAATTTATGTTGTGTGATAAATTCAAATTCGATTTAATAACATTAAAAATAGTATAGAACGGACATTAACTTTGGATAAGTGACGTCGTCGCGACACAATTACATAACTTCGAAGAGAACATAGTTAAAGTTAACTGTAGAAGAAGTCTGTAGAAGAAAATCTTATATATAAAATTCTCGTGTCACAATTTTCGTTCCCATACTCCTCCGCAACTTATTGACTGATTCTCATGGAATTTTGTAAGCACATTGAGTAGGTCTGACAATCGGCTAACATCTATTTTTAATACCGCGCGAACGGAGTCGCGGGCGACAGCTAGTAATCTATACTAATATTATAAATGCGAATGTTTAGATGTTACAATGTATCTTCGAAACTGTTGCATTTGACAAATTTGTCATATAGAACATAGTCTGGAAGGACACATTTTTTTTTCGCGCGAAAAGTCGCGTGCTATAGTTAGTTTTTAATTAAAAATATCGTATTTGTTTTGATGAATTTTCTGAATGAAGTACAAATTAATTTACTTATATCGTTATGTTATAGTTCGATATGCCAAAGTTGATACTTGAGAGGCGTTCAATTTTATAAGAGATGTTTTTATCATCATTGACTTTTTAAATATTTTAATTTTTTTTATTGAGTTTTATATTCTTATGATTTTAATAATTTAAACCATTTGTGTATTTTTGGTACAATTTTTATATTACATTACGTAAAAAAAAATCAGATTTTTTTATTGTTTTTTTCTGTTTTTTTTTTATACGGCTGTTTTTTATTTGTGACGATGAATTTGATTATTTACTTAAATACTGTCTTCCAAATAAACATTTTTGTGGTAATTTTTGTGCCATTCGGAGCTGGTTTTATCGTGGTTTAATACATCTTTATAAAAAGATATCTGTCTCTTTCTATTTTATTATGATTGAAAGAGATGGTATTATTTACGCTTATTCATACACTTTGTATGACTGATTTTGTATGAACATGTATGAAGTTTTATAATTATTTTATATCTAATAAATTGTTATTTGGAATATATTTTGTTTTATTGCTTATTAATTTTACTGGTCATATTGTGAACTGTCAGCTACAAGCTACGCGCTATGGAATTCTATGGGCAGCGGTTGTTTCGCCATTTCGGCGAATTCAGGTGTCAGCTTGCTCGTTTGCCACTACTTACTAATATAAATGCGACTGTTTGTTAGGATGTAACTCGAGAATGGCTGCATTCTTGCTGAAATTTGGTATAGATGTAGAACATAGTCTGGAAGAACACATGAGGTATTATTTTTTTTAAATCCGAGCCAACATAGTCGCGGGCGACAGCTAGTTAATTATAATTAACTTCGTTTCTCTTTGATTACTCAACAGTTCAAAGGTGTCGGTTACTTCAAATGAATTTTAAAATACGTTGCCTTTCGACATTCACGCAGTGGCTCAGGGGTTAAGCGTTTGACTTATAATCTACAGGTCCCGGGTTCAAATCCCGTTTTTACATATGTACGGTGAAGGAAAACATCGTGACATATCTGAGAAAGTCAAAGATATGTGTGAAGTCAACTGGGTCAGCATTGACTATGACCTAATCACTACGGGACGTATAGACAGCTGATGAGTGACAAGGGCGTCGCCAGCTGATCAAGGCTACGTCTAGAGGAAACACTAAAGCTAAGTTAAATTAAAAATTTACAAGTTGATTTTTAGTTACCTTTTAATATATAGCATTATATTTTTTTCATTAAAAAAATCGAAATGGAATTTATAATTTCGATTCTATAAGTTGGCAGCTCTCTCTCTTTCCATCTCTTTCTAGCGTTGCCAGTGTATATGTACATTTTAAAAATAAAATTCAAGTTCAAATGTAATTAGTCAAATTAAACGCGTAATAAAATACAAACAAAATTATTAACGGACCTTGGGATTATATGTATTTATGTAAATGAGTTTAAATATACTTTTAGTTATAAATTGAATAACAAATATTAAGATTTTATAAATTGATTCCGTGTTGTACTCTATGACCTTATGTCGTTTGTTTCTTTTTTTTCGATAGATAATTTTTTGACAGCTGAAAATACTTTTTATAATATTTTCTGGCTAATAGCCATTTTCACGCGATTGTAGATTTTTTCGTTGGTAAGATTTTTTGTTTTGTATTTTTATCTTCAATTAACTATCTTAATAATATTGAAAAGCAAAAAAGGAATGAGATTGAATGTGGATGGATACAAAGGTAGAGGAAGACCAAAAAAAGTATGGAATGACTGTGTAAGAGGATATGCGTAGGAAGGGGGTAGACTCGGATATGACGGCTGATAGAGATGTATGGAGGAGTAGTACATACTGTGCCGACCCCCGATAGGGATAAGGGCAGGTTGATGATGATGACTAATATTATTAATGCGAAAGTTTAGATGGATGGATGGATATTTCTTTGAAGGCATCCATACCGGCTGTAATGACCTGAGTAAACACCTAGGCTACTTAGTAAGTTTTTTTTAATTCTACGCGGACAAAGTCGCGGGCTACAACTAATAATCTATAAATATATTTTAAAGATTTCTTTTATTTCGTTTTTGCAATAAACGGATTTATATTTTAAGTTAACGAAATTAAAAAACAATAAAATTTCAAAATGAATTACGTCTTTACTCCAAACAAGTCTAAACCGCCGTATAAATATTTGATTGGATATATTTATTATGAAACTATAATTAAAAAACAATATAAAAATGTTTAAAAGCACTAACTGTCATGTTTAATTATAATTTATGTCATAATTATTGTAAAACTGGCTATTAATGAATCTGACAGGTTAAAGGTTAGTTTTTTTTCTTTTAGACAAAGGTTTATGGGTTATTGTAAATTGAGCCACTGAAAATTATAAATTAAAGCTACGTCAAACAAAATGATATAATTAATTTTATTTCAAATTTAAATAATAATATTTTAAAAATAATTGAGAAAATAATTTTGATGATTTTTAAAGTTTATCAAAGAATTATCAAAGATTTTTTTTTGACTACATGTTTTAAGGGAATATTAAAGTTAACTATAAACAGATTAATTAAACATGTAGATTGAAATATTATGTATTTTTGATATTACGTTGAAAAAAACATTGTCTTTTTAGCCTTTCCTTTGATTAAACTATAACGCAACATTTTAAAACTATCCCATGTGTACGTAACAAAATGACATAAGCATAAAAATCGATAATTGGTCTTGATGTAATGCAACATCACTGAACAAATATATCGCAACATACTAGGGTTGCCACAATGTGAACACATTAGGATATATTTTCAATTTGGTTACATTTACGTATTTACATCTTAAATTATTTCGCGCGGACAAAGTCGCGGGCAACTGCAAGTCGTAGATTTTTTTTAAATTAATTTTAATTAAATATTCAATGCAAAAAAGTCACATTGTCTTGTTGTTTTTAAGCTTTATATAGTCTTATTTGACATGAAGCTAAAAAAGGACTTAACTTTCTTAAACATTACCGTGTCTAATAAGCCTTGTATCACCATAATGATAGTTTTGATACCAGGTAATATAAAGCCTTGTACTACAGGAAATTTATGAATAGAAAAGCGTTATCGAATCGAACGTGTTAATTATACTTGTAATTTAAATATCTTCCTTTGGGGTTTGTGATTACAAAATCTGATTAAATAAAGACTGTCCGTTACATTTTATAGACATGGTCACCCTAATATTTAAGATGTTCGTCAAACTTAAGACCTCTTCACATCAGTTCAGTGTAGGAGTGCTTTACTTTATTTATATAATTCTATGAACGGTAACGTAGCCTTTTAGTAATAACATACTGAATAAAACTCCTTTTAATTGATAACATATTTAGTATGCTTTAATTTAAATATTTACAGTTTTTTTTTCCTATTATTATGACGTAATAATCTGTCAACAAAATGTCAAAATTGTACAGATGGACGTCAAATGTCATTGATTTAACTATTTTGTTTTTAAAGGCATTAAATACTTTTTAGTAAGAGTAATCGACCAACACACACTGAGCTAGCATAAACTATGACCTGGTCCCTTACTTAGGGTAGGCTCCGAGAGCCCTAGTCTCGGGCTGGTCAGTGAGGCGTCTCGGTGGCAAGTTAATACGATCCCGTAGCGTCCCACATATGGCTATGAGCGAACAGAGGGGTTTATTGAGTATGCTCCCATTCGGGGAGAGAATCCCACATAACTACCGTGCCTTCCCCGAAGTACGGAGTATGCCTAAAGCATACCCCACTAAAAAAAATGACTCCGAGTCCCTCAATGGGGATGTAGTGGGCTAATGACAAAATACTTTTTAAGATAAGTAAAAGTAAACGGATCTTGTGAACGCTCTTGTATTCTTTAAGATTAAAATTACAAACCTGTCAATAATATTGATGACTAAACAATGAATCATCGATTATCTTTAAGCTGGATGTAAAAAGAAACTTAACAGTGACTCTTAAAAACGTTACGCGTTTAAAAAATCATTCCTGTCGCTTTCGCTTATTAAAAAGAAAAAGTAGATTATTTATCTGAAATCTATATATATAAAAGAAAGTGGTGTTAGTTACATTATTTATAACTCAAGAACGGCTTTACCGATATGCCTGAAAATTGGTGAAAAGGTAGCTTAGAGCCAGGAGACATAGGATACTATTTATTCATTTTTTTTAATTTATGCCTTGAAGAGCTGCTTTTTATTTAACTTACTAATATTATAAATGCGAATGGTTAGATTGATATGACGTTTGGCCGTGCTACACTAATTAAGTTTTTTTATATAACGACGGACGGAGTCGCGGGCGATAGCTAGTATTAATTATAATACTTTGTTATTTATAACTATTTTATATATTATATGTTTATAAGTGGTACTTAAGTACATAATTTCTTCGAAATGAGTTTTTTTTAACCTTTTTTTTTACGATAGAATAGAGTAACCCTATTGGTTTATGCTGGTAAGTTTTTTTACATCAACCTTATTAAGTTTTTGTTTATAAATCATTTAAGCAAAGGATATGTAAGTATTTATTTTTAATATAATATCTCTTTACGTTATTTATGGAAAGTTTGTCTTGTTATTTTGGAATAATATAAAACATAAACAAATTCTGGGTGCGGTTAAAAAGGTCATTTAGTATGAACTTGTCAAAATATTTCTTTCTACTCGTGTACGAATTGCGTAAGGTTTGCGCATCGCTTTTGTAATATTAATTCGCATTTGTTATTTAATACGCAGAAAAAAAATAAGACAAGCTTTATTGAGAGAAAGTAAACTTTTGATTTTTCGATTTTGACATTATAAGTGGGTTTAATCTAGTTAACCTTTTTTTCGACGAAATTTTTTGTAGCAAAAAAACTAGATTTTTTTAAATTAGTTTTTCGTCACACTGGACACCATCGAATTAAGGGTTAATGCTATTTATTCCATATCAGTAACTCCAATGAACTATCTTCTTTTGACATCTTTTACCTTTTTAATGCTAAAAATCGTACATGTCCCAACCGATACTTCCCTTCACTAAATGTAGAATTTAGAATATCGTCTCTCTCACTATGTCATGTGAAAGGAGCAAAAGGCTTAGGTCGTGCTCTCTCAGCCAAAATTACTTAATACCGGTAAATACATTAACATCTCAGTACAGCATCGGTACATCACTACGGCGCACGCTTGACAGTTGCATTGCGCGCCAAATTAATGAATTACGCGGGATAAAAGTTCGATTATTATTTTTGCTTTACATTTTCTAAATTAATTATTTGTTATTGTTTTAGTTGTTTTTTTTAAGTGAATAGTTTTTTTTAAAAGAACAAAATGCAGTATTCACAATTATTATTGGTAAGTAATTTAATTTATACGGCGAATTATGAATTGTTTTATTCTGAATTTCTATAATCTGTGCCTATTACTTGTTTTAGCTTTTTTTATTATACTTTTAATAGACATAGAGTTGACTAGTGGTTGTTAGAAATTCGATCATAATTCGTAATCAAAGATTTTGTTGATTAAAAATTTATGCATCCAAATACGTACAAATGCTTTCAAAATACGTACAAATTTCTGCTTAATAAATACATAGATGCAATTATAAACACTACTATAATATAAAAGACAAGACAAGACTTTTTAAGGACATTTCCAAAAAAATAATCGACATCACAGGGGACCTAAGAGCTGGCAGCTACCTCGGTCAAAGTATTAGTTTAGCTGTCCAAAGGGGGAACGCTGCCAGTATCTTCGGGACCTTGCCTAAAGGGACTCCTTTTAATAACATATTTTAGTTAATTATTGTTTTTTTTTTTATTTTATTTTATATCATAGATTTAAGACTTTATGTAATCGTAGAAATAAGGATGTAAATTAATTAAACGTATCATTTAAAAAAAAAAGACAAGAATTTGTGTTGAAGGATCTAAAATCTAATTTATAAAAACTTGGTAATTTTAGACTGGACGCATGTAGAATACATATATGTGATCGGAATAAAAAACATTGACAAACACATTGTGTTTAATAATTATTTTACATTTATTTTATACAAATGCTTTGACATTAAAAGATAAAAAAACTAACAGTTGACTTACCTATTCACGTCAAATACATATAAAAGGTCATAGAAGTCGATCTGTGTGACCTTTTGCGTAATTAATGTCATTTTGAATTAGTAATGTTTACAGGTGGTCTAAGTTAACCAACCCGCACTTGGCCATAGTGGTTGACTATGGCCTAATCACCCTCAACTTAGGGTAGGCTCCGAGCCCCTCGGTGGGGACGTACAGTGAGCTGATGATGATGATGACAGGTGGTCTTGTACATTAATGGCTGAAATTTGTGCTTATAGTGTGTCGTATTTAAGATAGATAAGTTAGACAAGTGACTTGTGTATAAAATATCTAATTAATTTTGTATGAGAATTAATGTTGTACTTAATGTACGGTTGTCATAGTAACGAACTATCGAGAGTCGGTCTTGTAATAAAATTAATCCAACAAACACGCCTGTCTTCTGTATGGTCGTGGTATATCACCGGACGAGCCGGGTCAATTCGTGCGAACATGTTAAAGCTCGCTCTACCACTGTTTATATTAGTAAGATACACAGCGTTAAGCAATCAATAATGAAGTGCTGACGTTACATTGAATTATCTTACTATTGAACTCTGTATGAATGCATAATTTAGTCACGATATTAGTTAATTGAAGGCACCAAACATATTATAGTAAATATAAATATAAAATATATATGTTACTAATATTATAAATGCGAAAGTTAAGTTACGTTTTAAGTTATCTCAAGAATGAAAAGGATCTTACTGAATTATTCAAACTTTAGTGAGACATTATACTAAACTGATATATAAACACGGCTAAACACTTACGTATATACGTCCGGTGACACCGACTAGTTTCGAGCTCATCGGGAGCCCTTCATCAGGATGAGTGGTACTGGCGTCGTGAGCTGAGGGCCGCGTCCGCGATATAATACCATTACCACTCATCCTGATAAAGGGCCCCCGATGGGCTCGAAACTAGTCGGTGTCACCGGACGTATATACGTCAGTGTTTAGCCGTGTTTATATATCAGTTTCGATCTCACTGAAATTTGTCATTAATGTAGAACATAGTTTGGAAGCTTTTTTTAATCAAACGCAGACGAAGTCGCGGGTTTTTTTATTTTTATTGGGCGCTATACCGCCCTCTCGTTCATGGCATGTGGCCAGAGACTTTAGGGTTCTTTATTAATAATCATAAAACGCTTACGCTAGTTACTTATTAAATAATACATAATTCCTTACTGCTAGTTTAAAACTTAATGCTATACCGAAGTCGCGGGTTACAGTTAGTCTTGTATAAACACATATTTTGTCCTTAGTAGAAAAATACATATATGCGTAGATGTATGAATGTAGAAGATATGTGTGCTAGGAACACAACAAATGAAGGTCTCTGTTTATACCTCTAGGATAAAGGCGTGAACTTTAACATCACATAATATTGGAAATTAGTAATCGTCTTTAAAATACTTATGAATTGAAAACAACGCCATCTATCGGTGAATTAGAAATTTATTTCCTTTATTTGCAGCTCTTAGTGGGTGCAGTTTTATGCCAAAATGAAGATCAAATAATTAGGAACGACTTTGATGGCCCTCATCCTGACGGCTCTTACAGATGGGCTCTACAGACTGGTGAGTGATGTCTGGGATATTTATATTACTCTATTAGTATTGCATTTCGTGGTGTAAAATAACAGTGGTAGAGCGAGCTTTAACATCTTCGCACGAATTGTCACGGCTCGCCCGGTGGTATACCACGACTACACAGAAGACAGGCGTCAAGTGGAAGCTATTCCAACTACACGCTGATGAGTGTGCGTCCCGGAGGCCTAATTTAGTCCTCTTTCCCTTCGTTTCCTTGGAAGTGGACTTTCCGGATGAGAGGATGCATGAAAAGGGAAGATATTTTCTTTCTGTGCATCCTCTCCTCCGTCGCTTAAAGGTAGACAACACATATGCAATTACGTATGTCTATGGGCAACGGTCACTTCGCTATTTCAGCGATTTCAGGTGTCCGCTCGCTCGTTTGCCACCCAATGATATAAAAAAAAATTAAATTTAAAAAGAAAAGTAAATAGTTTTAGACAGTTATTAATGAGATTCCTTTCGTTACAAAGTCAAGTGTCAGAATGATTAGTGAGGGGACATAAACGTTGACATTTTAGTAAGACTAGTTGCGATAAACCGGCACAGTGCCGGATTTTCTTCCTAACAATAGTTACTTGTAGTAATCAAAATTCTTTAATGTTTAATTGTCGTTGCCTTTTTTTCCGTTTTATCTGTTTTTATTTTTTGTTACCCTACCTCGTGTTGCGTAAATGATGTGAGAATAAAGGGGCCAGCTGAAAACCAGCGCGGGAATGGTCAAGCCCTCCCTGCAACAGCTGAGCCAACCTTTTCTGCCACATCCTTAATTTATTTAATTTGTTTTTTTTTTGTTGTTTGTGGCAATAAATAAATATCCTATTCTACTTTTTCTTTTAAAAAATTCCGTTTTTTTTTCAACGAAATGAGTATAATATTTAAAAGGCTCTAATAAAAAAGCGTTTGAGGCGCTATTGTTGGCTAGATCGGACCACAACGTCCAACGATGACTATGACCTTGACCCCTAACTTATGTAGCCTCTAAGCCAGTAAACTTCGCCACCTATGAGGATATATGTAGACTGAAGACATATAATAATAATTTCGAAAATCACTATGTTTGTAAGAACACACACACTTCACAGAGGCTGCGTACAGATGTGTGGAAGACGTTTGAATATTGATGTTTAGTTACGCGTTGAATATATTCTTGCACTGTATTATATGTTTTTTTTTTCTTTTTATTTATCATTGTTATATGTTATTTACTGTTATTATAAAATATGTTATCGTGTAAACTGTTATGTAAAGTGTCATTAAGTAAGTAAAATTTAACTTGTCATAAGTAACTTTTTAGGTAGTTAAGACCTCAGTGCTTGGGTCCATTAATGATATATTTATTTAAATACCTAAATCTTATCATTTTATTCAAGATGGTGGTATTTACCATGAGCAGCGTGGAGTACAGTCAAATGGGCTGGTGGTGGAAGGACAATATCAATATACCGCGCCTGATGGACAGGTTCGTATCCTGTTTTTTTTTATAAAAATTTAACCAGATTTTTTTTGTAAATTTACTAATATTTCTTTTAGCATTCCAACTAAGCTGTATGCTTGTGCTAGGATATGGTTTACAATAGTCGAATGGCGGGATTCGAACCTCCGACCTCGTTATCGGAAAGCCGTACCCTTAACCATAAGGCTATTGACGCTTGAATTGTTTATATTGCTGTAAAAAAAAAGCTAGATTGACTATGACACTTAGGAGATGAATACGAATCGAATACCTCACTCGTCAAAATCTGTTCACTCGTTTATGCCAAAGTTCACAATAGAATGGTCATAGACAAATCTCTATATGTACATAGCTATACGTAATACACACAACCCTTCTGATTCACTATGGTATTCTATCAAAATCCCCGTTTAAAACATATCTTCTGTTTCTTTCAAAGATATGTTTTATACAGAGATTTCGGTCTTTGAAAGCAACAGTCAGTCGGGTAAAAGATATAGATAACTAGTTGTCGCCCGCGACTCCGTACACGCAAATAAAAAAAAAATAATTAGTAGCCTATGTGTTATTCCAGATTATCTGGAGATACCTTCTATCAAACATCCATCCATCCATCTAAACATTCGCGTTTATAATATAAATAAGATTAATAATATTGATAAACACGTAAATTAAATAAAATTATATAAATTAATTAATACGCCATCTATTGGAAAAAAAATAACATTTAATAGTTTACATTACTTACCAATAGATGGCGCTTTTCAATATGTATCTCCTATTTAGATAATCCACGTGTTGTACAAAGCGGACGAACATGGATTCCACGCTGAAGGCGCGCACATACCTACACCCCCACCTATACCCCCAGCGATACAAAGAGCGTTGGATTACCTCGCCACTATACCCCCACATACACAGTAATGGCGGCTTTGGCTTGAGATGGCGAACTTTTAAATGTCAACGCGCATTTTTCTAAGGACATTTCGTTTCTCTTCTAAAATTATACCTACATTTTTAATAGTGTGTAATTTGTTATTAGTGACGTGCACAATATTGTCGTATTTAATTCGCCATCATTATTTTTTCAAAATCTCTTTCTCATCCCAGTCATCTACAAAACAAAAGATAATTGTTTTAAAGGAAGATTTTGGTCTTAGAAACCCTATTTACATTGTGTACATGCAAGTGATTAAAGTTGGAGTATGTCAAACTTACGATTGAAATAAAGATAAGGGTTCCCAGAGAATTACACTGCGTCAAACTTATTTGTCTCGGTGCGTGTGCCACGAGATTCTTCTACTGTATCTGTCTTTTCCTAACAAAACTAAGTAACAACCTAATTATTTGTACTCGTATTAAGCAAATTGTAAATATATTTTTAATCTACCTCAGTTTAATCAACACTAGTCTATGTGAAACAATATATTGATTGAAAAATAAACTGATTTTTATATTAAAAATTAACTAAAAACTCTGTTTTATTTTGTCCCACTGTACACGAACTTAAAAAGCCCTGGGACCCGTATAAATGAAACAAAGGTCGGGTGGATGAGTCGTTTAATTTTTTTTTTGTGACTGAGTAGTCACTGTTTGTGTTTGCCTTGAGGAGGCATTTACAGCTTCACCGGGCTTGAGGTGGCCTAGCGCAGATGGCGCTTAGCCTGAACCTCATTTAAGAGTAACAAGACTCGAGGGCTCCCTGAGGAGCCTCGGCTCGGGCTGTTACTTCGTTATAGACACCGGATTGGCAGGTCACCAAGCTCTTCGATCGCTTAGGTACGTTTAATTAGCGTTAAGCGTAATCACAACACAACAGTAAAACAAAACGCTTGTGTGCATTTAAATAGCGCAGCGCCATCTAGTCCTTTTAAAACAAAACTTAATTTTTTTCTTATTTGCGCGTAAACACTCACTAGTCACAAGTTTTAACAGTGATAGTCGCCAGCGAATGTCCCTCTCCCGGTGATATACCACGACCACACAGAAAACACGCCTCAAGTGGAAGATAGGAGACCTAATTTGAATAATTGGTGGGAAGTGGGATTTGGCAGTGGAAAGGACGTATAGAAAGAGGATTTCCTCTTCCATTGCATCTCCTCCTCTGTTGATTAAAGGAAGGCAATGGATCTGCAATTGAAGAAGTCTTTGGGCTTTCGCTTCGCTATTTTCGTCGAATTTAGATGGCTGTTTGTAACATTACAATAAACTAGCTGTCACACGCGACTCCGTCTGATTTTAATTAAAAATATAATTAATAGCTTATGTGTAATTCTAGACTATGTATTTATGCCAAATTTCATCAAAATGTGTTCATCCGTTCTAGAGATACCTTCAAACAAACATCCAGACATTCGCATTTATAACAGTAAAATAAAAAGTACGTCATATAGTGTCATCTCTTTCATTTGCATTAATAAAGAGATAAAAATGTTTTTAACAATAAGATCTTAAAGCAAGTATGTTAAAAGAAATAACAATAAAATGCATAAATTCTTTATTAAAGACTTAAAAAAACAACAAAATGGCCACCGGCCGTGTACACAATACATTATGTGCAGCTAAAATATACAGGTTGAAGAATATTCTTCTAGAATTCATCGTGGAATGGATAATCTGGATGGTGGACGCTGAAATAATACAAATATGTAAGTACTAGCTGTCGCCTACGACTCCGCACGTGATGATTTAAAAAAAATGTAGTCTATGTGTATATATATAGATATAGAGCGTCGGTGGCTCAGTGGTCAAGCACTTGACTTGCAATCTGCAGGTCCTGGGTTCGAATCCCGCCATGTACCGATGTGTTTTTCCACTTCCGATTTACATATGTACATTTATCTGACGTTCTTACGGTGAAGGAAAACATCGTGATGCTGCACATATCTGAGAAAGTCAAAGATATGTGTGAAGTCAACCCGGACTTGGTCAGCGTGGTTGACTATGGTCTAATCACCCTTAACTTAGGGTTACTCCGAGCCCCTTAGTGGGGACTTGTTGGAAGAACACTATGTGCTACATCTATGTCAAATTTCAGCAAGATCCAGCCGTTCTGGAAATAATTTCTAACCTACATAAGTTAAATGAACATCTGGAAGCTTAATCTGGAAATTGTACGTAATTCCAACACCTGGAAAGTAATACTTACTCGCCCATAGAACAGAGTCTGCCGTTGCATTCGAGCGCGGCGACCGCCTGCAGCTCGTCTGCAGACAGCTGGAAATCGAACACCTGGAAGTTCTGCTCGATACGAGATCGGGTGACAGATTTCGGGATCACAATCATTCCGCGTTCAATCGCGTATCTGGAAAAAACGTATAATAAAATGACCCTGGTCTGGAACTGCGTTAGGGTAGGGCGTGGGACGACAGCCCTGGGCGCAAGATTAAAAAAAAGGGCGTAGGCACCTACGAAATTATTTAGCTTACCTGATGAGAACTTGAGCGACAGTCTTGTTATGTTTAGCAGCGACCACTTTCAGTCTCTCATCCTCCATGAGTGTGGGGTCTCCAGGCTTCGCCCAGGGTCTATCGGGGCTGCCCAGCGGCGAGTACGCGGTCACCACTATGCCCAGAGACTTGCAGTGCTCAAATAATTTCTCTTGGTTCAAATATGGATGGACTTCGATCTGAAAGACGTTAGAAGAAATTGTTCACAGTTCAATTGAACGTATGCAGCATTTAACTAGCTGCGACCCGCGACTTCGTCTGCTTTAAATTAAAAGAAAACTTAGTAGTCTATGTGTATATTATACGAATGTTTCGATGTATGGTTGTTTGTTTGAAGGTATCTTCTGAACGGTAGATGTAGAACATAGTCTAAAAGAACACAAAAGCTACTAATTAAGTTTTTAATTACGCGGACGAAGTCACGGGCGACGGCTAGTAGCACTAAATCACTTACTTGGTTGACCGCTGGCTTGATCCTTGCAGCCTCAACAACTCTGTCGATCTGTTTCTTGTTGAAATTGGAGATGCCGATGCTCTTCACCAAGCCTTTGTCCACAAGTCCCTCCATAGCCTTCCATGTGTCAACATAATCCACTGCCGAAGGGATGGCTTTACCCTGTTCGTCGACAGGGAAATTATCTTCACCTTCCTAGGAACAAAAAAGACAGCTGTAAAAATATCTAGCCTATGTTTTATTCCAAACCATTAAATTCTCATGAAGATCCGTTCAGCTGTTCTGTAGTGATAAAAAACCTTACCTTGTAAGCTTGTGGCCAATGAATTAGGTAGAGGTCTAAGTAGTCCAGACCGAGGTCTGCAAGAGAGGTCTTCACCGCCGCCTCTACAAGGTCAGGTCGGTGACTCGTGCACCACAGTTTTGAGGTTATAAAGATGTCAGCCCTAGGCGAAAAAAATATTTAACTAAACTAATATAATAAAGAGGAACGATTTGGAATAGGCTCAACTATATCGTATTCAAAATTCTTTAACTTTTTGGAAAATACACTATCCCTTGGTGACATGGCTATATTTATTACAAGATTCGTTTTAATTCCGAGTGAACGAAGTCACGGGCAACTGCTAGTAAAATGAATTAATAGTATCCTATGTCCGTCTCCTGGCTCTAAGCTACCTCCTCACTAATTTTCAGTCATATCGGTAAAGTCGTTCTTGAATTATAAATAGTGTAACTAACACGATTTTTATTTATATATATATACTAGCGGACCCGACAGACGTTGTCCTGTCTACACGTCTTTAATTTGAATAAATTAATATGAAGTTAATATTTGATGAAAATTGTGAATCTAAACCATTCCCAGATCCCCCCCTTGAACACACACAAAAAATTTCATCAAAATCGCTCCAGTCGTTTGAGAGAAGTTCAGTGACATACACACTCACAGAAGAATTATATATATAAAGATGGGTGTTAGAAGGTATCTCCAGAACGGCTGCATGGATCTCGCTAAAATTTGTCATAGATGTAGAACAGATGTACTAATAATGTTTTTTGTTTAATTCCGAGCGGACGGAGATGCGGGCGACAGCTAGTAATAGATGATATGGAATTAAGATGCAATCTACACATATCTGTAAAGTTCAAAGATATGTGTGAAGTGACGCACTGGGCCAGCATTGACTATGACCTAATCACTAACTTAGGGTAAGCTCCGAGACCCTCGGTGGAGACGTATAGGGAGATGATGAGTGACAAGGGCGTCGCCAGCTGATCAAGGCTACGTCTAGAGGAAACACTAAAGCTAAGTTAAATTAAAAATTTACAAGTTGATTTCCTACGCATATCCTCTTTCACACAGTCATTCCATATTTTTTTTGGTCTTCCCCTACACTTGTAGCCATCCACATTCAATCTCATTACTTTTTTAAAGCTATAGGATTGTGTTTTATTAATTAAAAAAAACTTAAGGTAGACTCCGAGTCAGTGGGGATGTAGTGAGCTGAGGATAAGACGACATCAATGTTATTATCACGTTGTGAACAAAGGAAGGATTGTACAAAATGAATAATAGTTTTTATATAAAGATTGTAAAGTCAAAGGTTTATCAAGAAAGCTTGTTTTTATGCATGTGTTGTAAACAAAATGTTATTATTCGAAATGCATGTTGTTGCATTGTTCAAGGACTAATGAACGATAAAGTTCAAGTAGGAAAAATACTATAACGTATCAATTGAGTTGTTTTTGTATGAATCAGTTTGGGACGTACTCATGGTGATTTTATTTCAAAAAAATCTGGCTGACCAAACTTTGCTCGGTATTTTTTTTTTAATTATGTTTTTTGATAATTATATTTAAGTAGGAATTACTAATAAAATGATGAAATATGAATAATATTTTTCGATCTTACCGATAGAAAAAGTTAAGTTTATGTTTAAGTTGATTATCGATAAAACACGAATAAAATGACATTTTCTAATAATGATTCCTAACTAGATCGATTTATCGCCCCCGAAACCTCCTATATACTAAATTTTATGAAAATCGTTGGAGCCGATTCCGAGATTACAATTATATATATACAAGAATTGCTCATTTGAAGATATAAGATAAGATTCTAGGATTGTAGGCATAGTATTCAGAAATATGTAATTTCTATGACTTCTAGCTGTTCTATGACTCCATGGAATTAAAAAAAAAAGATTATTGGTAGCCTATGTGTTCTTGCAGACTATGTTCTATATGTATGCCAAATTTCATCGAGATGTATTCAGTCGTTCTGGAGATATATTCTAACAAAAGTCCATCTTAATTCGCATTTATGATATTAGTAAGATAGATATTAGGAGATATTTCCAGTGGCCTGGGCGAGATTTTTGCAGAACCCCCACTGTGGTCCCTACGGTGCCCCCTTAAGCTGGTCCTGTGCGGTCGCCCCACGCCCATAAGGCTACTAAGTGGTAGCTCCCCCCTGCCAGTTCTTTTCTATCTTAACAATGAAATCGCAACTTTAGTACTGTGGAGTTCCACTGTATTTTTATACAGTGAGGAAGAAAATCCGACACTGTGCCGGTTTAGCGCAACACTAGCATTACTAAAATGTCGATGTTTATGTCCCCTCACTAATCATTCTGACATTTGACTTTGTAACGAAAGTCATTCGCGACAAAGGATTCTAACTAATCTTATCTTATATATAAAATTCTCGTGTCACAATTTTCGTTCCCATACTTCTCCGAAACGGCTTGACCGATTCTCATGAAAAAATGAGAGTAGGTCTGAGAATCGGCCAACATAAATTTTAATCCCGCGCGGACGGAGTCGCGGGCGACAGCTAGTAATGTCTAAAAACTGACAAAACTGACTACAATAAAAGTGTTCGCATACTTAATTACCGAAGGTCGTATTTCTCTTGATATGCATTTACTAATAAAAGTGTAACACGGTTAAAATCTTACGTAATTACCTTTTTTCAGTAATAATTTACGCGGAAGTGTTGACTCAGCGTCAACAAAATGCTTGCGAATAAGATGACACGTTTACGTGACGATATTTTAACGTGACAAACAACTTGATAATTGATCATATTCAAGGTTGCATGAACATTTTTACTTAACAGAAGGGCGATTTAATTACGATATTTATGTATAGACTAAACCAGTGGCTCCCAAACTCATTTTGTCTACTGCCCACTTTGAGAATATTTTTTTAGCGCTCCCATATTTTCACATATTTAAAAACCACTATAACTTCAAATTAAATTAATTAATTATTATTGTTGCGAGTCGAGAGCTCATGCAGTCGTTGTCTAAGAGGCCTCCTAGCTAGTGTTCTTTCAGACTATGTTCTACATGTATGCTAAAACAGCAAGTTCTGAATGCAGCCTCCAGTTTTGGACATCTAACATACATTCATCTAAACATTCGCATTTATAATATTAGTAAGCAAACATTTTTGTTTCACGAACATCAACGATGTTTTCATCGACAACAAAACGTATTTTGTTTCGATCGATGCACTGACCTTGTAAAATGTCGATTATCTTTACATATTTTATTACCAAAGGGTGGGAACAACACAGGCTTGCTTTTATGTTACTAGGTATCGCGACTTTGCATGCGCGGAATTAAAAAAATAATAATAAGTAGTCTATGTGTTCTTCCAGATAAATCTATGATATTAAATAAAATACTAAAAACGTCAATTAGTAGTCAAAAGGCGTCAATTAAGGCAAGGTTCCGAAGATACTGGCAGCGTTCGCCCTTTGGATAGCTATACTAATACTATGTCCGAGGTAGCTGCCAGCTGCCTGCTCTTCGGTCATCTATGATGTCGATTATTTTTTTGATATTTAAAAAGCCTTAAAGCGCTAGGACCTCACGAACCAAGGGTCTCGACGCCGAATGGGACAAAATCATATTCGTAGCCTAGACTCCTGTATTTGCTTACCGTATTTTTTTCTATCAGATTATGTTCAACATTTGTGACAAATGTCATAAAGATTCGTTGAGTCGCTTCGGAGATGCCGTCTAACAAACATCCATCTATACATTCGCATTTATAATATTAAATTGTTAAAATTTCCTTTAAAAATATAGACACAATATTTTTTACAAATCAAATATTATGGTTAATTTTATATAATTTTTTTGTAATTTTAGTATTTTTTTTTTAAATCCGTGCGGACGGAGTCGCGGGCGACAGCTACTTTTGTTAACTTTACACACTTAAGATATTGTATTTATACATTTTTCAAGTTTTTTCTCTGGAAATAATATAATAACTCACCGTTTAACAACGCCCTCATCGAATTTCGCTTTCAAAGCTTCACCTACTTCTTTCTCGTTGCCGTATATATGAGCACAATCGATATGTCTGTACCCAATGTCAATAGCATCTTTCACAGCTTGAGTCACTTCGCCAGGCTTTGACTGTGGAAGGTAAACCATTTTAGTGTGATTTAATTATATCTAGGTACCCTAAAGTCCTTAAAAGACCAACGTGGTTAGACAAAGTGCATTCGCTTCAAAGCGATTCCATAATATTCAAAAATGTATAGACAACTTTGTATAAGTCACGTCATTGTCGCGACACAATTACATACATTTTTAAAGTTCGCTATTGAATTCATTCAAAGCGAATGCAGTTTGTCTAGCCTCCATTATTGATGTCACTAAAGGAACCTTGCCGTGGATTTCTGAGACTAAAATATTTGTTTAAAACATATGTCAGTTTTGTTAAAAATAATGAGAGTGATGATATGTTTTAAGCGAAAAATTTGGTCTTGAAAACTCACGATTTATGTGACTTATATATATATATATATATATATATATATATATATATATATATATATAAAAGAAAGTCGTGTTAGTTACACTATTTATAACTCAAGAACAGCTTTACCGATATGCCTGAAATAAGTGAGGAGGTAGCTTAGAGCCAGGAGACAGTCATAGGATACCATTTATTCATTTTGTTTTCGAATTTATACCTTGAAGAGCTGCTTTTTATTTAACTCACTAATATTATAAATGTGAATGTTTAGATGGATGTGAAGTGGATGGATTACGAGGACGGAGTCGCGGGTGACAGCTAGTTAGTGATAAAAATAGCTAAATTGATTCTAGAAAATAGTTCGTCGTTATTCAACGTAATTATCATGAAATGTAAAAGTGCACTTTTTCACTCGATTGTATTGTAATTAGATAATTATAAAAAACAATAAAATTATTGTTAATTATCATTTAAAATACATGTTATTATTTTAAAAATGATAATGAAAGTATTAGCATATTATCTGTTTTTCTGCACAATTTAATTAACACGAATTTTTATAATCTACGTTTCAATTAATTAACGAATTAATTAACAAAAATTCACACAAAATGTAGCTTTAACCTTCTCAAGGTTAAGAGAATATTTTTTTATGTCTCGACTTCACTTGCGATCTTTTTGGAATAAAATTCTTGTTTACCCCCATTCTTTACCCCCATCATTATCCCGCCCTTTTTTGTGTCGGCATAGTATGTATATCTATTAACCATATCTGAATTCATTTCCTTATCCATAAATCCTCTTTCATACAACCCATCCATACTTTTTTTCAGTATTCTACATTGAATTTTATTACTTTATTAATTATCTCGTCGTCTCCCATTTTTACCCCCAATAGTGTGAAATTTAGTTCTGGGTTTTAAAAACGGAAACAAGCAAAAATGCCTGGTTTCTTGATTAGAAACACAATATAGTTTATAAGAAATGAAGGTAGTCAAATAAAAAAACGACACGAAGGCAAGAAACCACGAAAGACTTATTTGTCAAAATTGGTTCAGTATATGCTACAAATAATAAAATATATAAAAACCCATTCATACGCGAAACATAACCTTTCTTTTTTTAATAGTCTAATAATAATCTACTCTTGTTTGAAACCAAAGAGTTATTTTAATATAACAAAAAACACAAAAAGTCATTATAATTAAAAAAAAAAACTATTAAAAAAAACAATTGTTTTTAAAAAATTAAATTAGTATTGGCGCCAAATGTTAAAAATATTGGCATAATTAACAACATACTTTTGCCTACCGTCATAAAAAAAAATCAAAATGTCACTAGAAAGATATGAAAAAATTACCGCTAAATAATTATAGATAGGTTATAAGTTGCAAAAACGAATACAATTTCTTAGTATTATAATAATTAAGGTCATTTAGTACTTACTTTCCATGTGCCTAAGCCGATGACGGGGCAAGTGTGGCCATTGTTGAATACAACCAAAGGTACAGCACTCATTTTGTAATATAAATTTAAATTGGTATAAACGATTAAATAAAATTATAAATATGTCTTTTGTTAGTAATGCGTCGCCTGCGACTCCGAGAATGAAACTGTTTCGCGTGCAAAGATCGTACTATATTTAAAGCTGCCACTTTATTAAGGTGCAGTTTCACTAGACATATTTTGTTAAATTTGCCCAGTCGGTAAGAAATATTTTGTATTTTTCTATTAAATTCCCGTTATTAGTTAAATGTTAAAAACAATTTTCATTGCTAACACTTTCTTCAAATCAAAGACACAGTACCTAATCCTAGTTAATAGAACTTTTTGTCTTAATTGAACATTTGTTGCAAATTTAAAAACCATTTTAAAATATTAATATGAGAATCTAGAGATGTTACTATGCTATTTTTATTTATTCTGTTTTTTTACAAGAAAAAATTAAGGATGGAAATATAATTTAGTGTAAAAGTATTTTTGATAAAAATAACTCACCTCTTCATTACCATATTAAAACATATAAATATGTTAATTTAAATATATTAAAAAAATTACAATCTTACTAATTTTATAAATGCGAATGTTTAGATAGATGGATGATTGTTTGAAGGTATCTCCAGAACTTCTGAACGCATCTCGATAAAATTGGGCATACATAAAGAACATAGTCTGGAAGAACATAAAGGGCCGCGTCCGCGAAATAATACCAGTACCACTCATCCTGATGAAGGGACCCCGATGGGCTCGAAACTAGTCGGTGCCACCGGACGTATATACATCAGTGTTCAGCCGTGTTTATATATCAGTTTAGTATAATATCTCACGAAAGTTTGAATAATTGTGTTTTTTAATACCGCGCGGAAGGAGTCGCGGGCGACCGCTAGTATTTTCATAATAATAAAAAAAAATATCATAAACAATCATTACATAACTAAAAATTAAAAAAAAAAACTTACTCGACAGTATATTAATCATTTTTATTTAATAAAAGTCATAGTGAAAATGTACCTTAAGTATTACTCAACCGCTGCCTAACCGACACACGGTCTGGAAAAGACCTTGATTACATGAAAAATGTTTGACATAAAATGATTACACATCGGAAATATACTGTTTAATATTTTATCGACATATTGTTTAAGAATTTTATGACCCTTAAAAATATTAACTAGTTGTCGCCCGCGACATCTTTGCCGTGAATTTAAAAAAAAATATCCTATGTTACTCTGGCATAGATTAGCCATTACTACTGTTTGGATGGATGTTTGTTTGAAGATATATCGAGAACGATTGTATGGATCTCGCTGACATTTGGCAAAACAAAACAGAGTCTAGAAGAACACGTAGGCTACTTATTAAGGTTTTTTTTTAATTCCGCGCTGACAGTATTCTATAAGTATCGCTAAAATCAGTCCAACAATTTATGAGACTACACGGAACAAATGCAAACTTGAAGACAATTGGTTTTTGTTTGTAAAAAAACGTAAATCCATGTGCTCAAAATACGACTTTTTTGACAACACATACAATCTAATTGTATTTATCTGTGTAGACCTATCTTCTTGTATATAAAATTCTCGTGTCACAATTTTCGTTCCCATACTCCTCCGGAACGGCTTGACCGATTCTCATGTAATTTTGTGAGCATATTGAGTAGCTCTGAGAATCGGACAACATCTATTTTTAACCCCGCGCAGACGGAGTCGCGGGCGACAGCTAGTATTGTATAAATGTATTAGTGCAGTGGAGTCCTACGGTTAAAAGAAACATCGGGAACTTTAAGATTTCATCTATAAAGGTATAGAAATATTAAATGTAGGTAGTTTGTATTTTAGTTTGCTCAAAGGTAAAGTGCTTGATTAAACGTTCATCTTACTATTATAAATGTGAATGTTTAGATGTATGTTAGAAGGTATCTCCAGAACGACTGAATGAATCTCGATGAAATTTGGCATTGATTTATTTATTTATTTTTTTATGATACACCAACGCGTAAGTAATAAGATATGCGAAAAAAAACTTATCACAATTAAAGGTGTACACATCATGCGAGATTAATGATGAAACAAACAAACGACACAAAAACCTTATACATAAAAACAAAAAATACTGAATTTTTTTTTGAGTGAAACCAATTGTGTGAAAAAAAAAAAACAAAAAATAAAAAAGATAACGAAGGAAAGAAAAAAGATTACATGAATTAAATTAATTAGCAACATTACGTATATATATTTTAAAAGAAGATATTTTATTTTGGAGAAAATATCGATTAGGGGCGCATTATTTCTCGCTCTAGCAATAATAGTATTACCATGATGATGATGATGCTTAGGATTTTCTACATAATAATAATAATAATAATAATAATAATAAGCCCCTCAGAATCCAACCATACGTCCGAATCGAACACCAGATTCACGTGGGGGGCGGACACGCGATATTTAATTTACTGGCGCGGCTAACATGGCTC